AGGAAGCGAAAGGTGCGGGCGATGCAGATTTGCAGCGGAAACAAGGCTAAAGACTCTCGGCTGCGGAGTTGATGAGGTTTCCTGCCTGAAATCGACAACTTCCAGCAAGAGGAAACTGAGAGGTCCCCTCCTATCGACAAACGCGCACGCAGTAAGAGGTGTTGTGGCGCAGGGCTGGTGTCCCTATTTCTGAGCCAGAAGACCTGGTTTCGAATCCCTCACCTTCCACCCCACCCCAATCCCGGAGATGCATCCCAGCACATCCGGTTAAAATACCCAGATACACACCACCCTGTAATTAACGGAAGGTGTGGAGGGGGAGGGATAATTGACACACGGTACAAGACAATGAAGAGGGTGGGCGGCCTCCCACTTACTCACTGATGGATGCCTGACTAGGATTCAGGAGGCTGTGTTAAGTTCTGAGTGAGGGAGACTGTGTGAGAATGGGATGCAGGGGTATGGGAAGGGTTCTAATCGGGGGTGTGGGTGCGGGTTGGTGGTTTGAGGAAAGAGACTAGTGCGTTCTGTGTGGTAGAAAGTATGGTCGGACTGAGAATTAATATATAGATCCCCCTTCGGCCCAACAAACCCACACCGACCCTCAGAGAATCCCACCCAGACCTATATCCCCCTTTATAACCCACCTAATCTACACATCCCTGAACACTACGGGCAATTTAGCATCGCCAATCCACCTATCTTTGGACTGTGGGAGGAAACCGGAGCACCCGGTGGAAACCCACGCAGACACGGGGAGAATGTGCAAACTCCACACAGTTGCCCGAGGGTGGAATCAAACCTGGGTCCGTGGCGTGTTAACCACTGAGTCACCGTGCCGCCCCTAATGCAGTGGGTACCGATCGTGTGGGATTTGAGCGTGTGTGAGAATAGGATTGGTGGGGTCTGTGAGTTAGAATGGGCTGTGGTAGTCGACTTGAGTTATCAATGGGATTTGGAGGGGTTAGGAGTCTGAGTTTAGGTTGGAGTTCCATTCCTTATAGGGTCTGAGTTTGAGATGTTTTATATGTTAAGAACATTTGGTAATTTTGTGTCATGGGATCTTCTCCCTTGGCTACTTGCCTTGCTGTCCTTTTCCAAGCTGCTTAACTCCAGACCAGAGCCCTTTCCCATATTCACTTACCTTCCCCACACTCCCCTCCCCGACCCCAATCCTGACGTGGTCCTCCCGATGTAATTGAGGATCCAGCAGAGATCAGTTGCCTGCAGTTCCTCTCAGCCACGGACGCTGGGGCATTGGTCCAAAACCCTCTCGCCCACTGCCCACCCTTCACTCTGCTGGTGGAAGTGGCCGGGACCCTCACTCACCCATCATCAGTGTGAGATATCAGCACCGTCCAGGGCATGACTAGTGACCCACACTATCATGGAAATAAGTGAGAGAATGAGCATAAGAATGAGTGAGAGACTCCATGGTTCGTTGTCTATGTATCTGGTTGAATGTGTTGACACCGCATGTGCAGGTGACTGAATGTGTATGTACATCCATGTTGAAATGTGGGTGTGTAAAAGTGTGTCAGTGCTGAAGCAAACATTGTTCCCCATGAAACCAATAGCCCAGTACCAAGGCTCCTTTTTTTCTAGGGGCAAATCTCCAACTCTGTGCTGTGGTGGAGACTGATCTGACACTCTGCTTCTCTCTGCCATAACCTGTGCTACGTGGGAAAAGAAAAGACTAATATCTCTCTTTGAAAAATAAGGTTGCTTTGCTGGAGTTGGACCTGATGTCAGGTTGTTCTTGTGAACGGTGATGTTCTCCCTGAGCTTTCTCCAAAGCTTACACTCCTGCTCCCATTACTGTGGGAAGGATGTGACTGTATTAGAGAGGATTCACTGGGACATTGTCTAGGCTGGTGTGTTTCGGCTAAGTAGAGAGACTGAACAGGTTGAGGTGTTTTCCTAAGAGCAGAGAAGGCTGAAGTGGAGTTTAATTCAGGTGTACAATATCGAGGTGCTTTGATTGGGTAGACAGGAAGAAACTTGCCCCTCATTAGAGGGATTAGTAATCAGGGGGTATAGATTTAAGGTCAAAGGCAAGAAGTTTGGGTGATTTAAGGAGGATTTAGTTTTTCACTCAAAGGTTGGTAGGTATCTGGAACTCACTGCTCAAAAGGTGGTAGAGGCTGGGACCATCTGATGATGTTTTGAAGCACAATTACAAGACTACAGGTCAAGTGCTGGAAAATGTGACTAGATTGGTGCTTGGTGACTGGTGCGAACACGATGGATCGAAGGGATTCTTTTCATGTTGTTTAACTGTATGACTCTATAATACCAAAGGTTAACTTTTGTTAGCAACAGTTGACATATTCTGGGAGGAAATAGCCAGGAAATCTGAGCGTTCTAAGAATAGCAGAAACACGCACTTTCAATACGGAATGATGCACACACACACACACACACAATGATGCGTACACACAGACACGTATACATCGGTGTGCACACACATGCACACACACAATGATGTACACACAGGGGCACACATATACACACAATAACCCACACACAAACACAATGATGGACACAGATACACCATTATAGACACGCGCGCAATGATGTACATATAATAATGCTCACATAGGAACACACATAATGATGTACAAACGGAAACACAATGATGCACACGCACATACAATGATGCACACGTACATACAATGATGCACACGCACATACAATGATGCACACGCACATACAATGTTGCACACACACACGGAATGATGGCCACATGCCAAACTGACATAGATTAGCTGCACGTCATTCACACAGACTTGTGTATGTGAAAGTGGGCACAGAACTCTGTGCAGGAACATCTCCCGCCTGGGAAATACGAAGCAACAAGTGTTTAGCCGACACTGGAGCAGTTTATCCCAATATCTGATTCAAGCCGGTTCTGGTCTGGTCCTCGTTAAAATTCTCCTCTCCCCAGCCAGTTAAGAAAGGTCAGGTCTCCCTGAGCTGGCACATCTGATCTAGTAATACACCAGAACATTGAGGCAGATGATTGTCAGTAACTATGGCACTTATTGCGGTGTGCACCCTGTACAATGCTGCCACTGCAGCCCGCGGTTTGCCTGCCGCAAGTCACAGTGAGGCTGACTCTCGCCTTTCCTCCTGGATATCTTAGTTGGAGAGACAGAGAGACAATCTGCCTTTTTCCATTCCAAATAGCCATTCCGGGAGCTGCTCAGCATTTTGAAGAGCAGGGTAATCTCAGATGTAGCCCTGTTATGGTGGTTTGGTTGGGGGTAAATAATCAGAAGTAACGAAACTTAACACAACGCAATAGGCACATGCCAACCGAAATCCCCTCCCCTCTCTCCCAATGGCAAAATGGAATTAAACGCATTACGTCTCGGGACTCCCTGACAAGCATCAAAACAAGCTCGCTACTCAGGAGCCCCCTCCTCACAGGGACAACATACAGTAGCTGGACATCGACACTTGTATAACTTTCTAAGCACAGGCTCTGCAGGTTAAAAAAAACAGTAACTTTCCATCAAATTCATCGGCCATTTCAATGTAAATTCATTATTGATCACCGCGCACTCGGCTCGCTGTCAGCTGAGGAACTGATGGGAACACTTCAGTCAAGCTGATAGCGGGCAACCAGGGCCTTCCCTCATACACCCTGAGGGAGGGAGGGAGTGAGGGAGTGAGTGATTGAGTGAGGGAGGGAGGGAGTGAGGGAGGGAGTGAGTGAGGGAGTGATTGAGGGAGGGAGGGAGTGAGGAAAGGAGGGAAGGAGAGAGAAACCGGACAAACACAGCAAACAAATCAATCAGTTCTCAGCAGACAAGTGGAAAGTTGCAGTATCCATGGTCCCTACAGAAATTGAGCGACCGCTGAATGATGCCCAACATTCCGCTTCATCAACAGCCTCTTTATTCATCTCGGAGATTTAATATTCGCAATGTCTCACCATGCTAACTTCACTCCCAAGATTTAGCTTCTATAACTCCGTTTCCCACGCTCGTACCACCTATCCCCCTCAAATTCTTTCCTACTTCAACCACTTTCCCATACCAACCCCTCTCCCTAACTCAAAACCTTTGCCCCCCACCTCCCACCCACTCCCCCCTTCCCAACCCGTCTCCCACCTCCAGCCCCTGTCCGATCCCAAATCCTCTCGCCCACCCTTTTTCCGAGCCCACCCTCTCTCCTACCTTCAAACCCTACCCCCTCATAGCCCCAAATAGCTTCCACCGTCTAACCCACCTCCACCCCCCACCAATTCTCGCCTATCTCCATCCCTTCTCCCACCACATGCCCTCACTTACCCCCACTCCCCACTCCTCCCCCAAATCTTCTCCGACTCCAACCTTACCTCCAGGTCCCAACTCACTCTCCCACTACCACATCCTCCTTACCCCCTATCCTCAACCCCACTCCACTCTCAGTTATGGCCCTAATCTATACCCCCCCCCTCCCCCCCCTCGGACCCTACTCCCAATCCTTTCCTCCCCCCCCTCACTCCCCCCTCCCCCACTTTCCCTAAAATATTCTTATCCACCCCACCACTTTTAGATCCCCATTCCCTCTCCTACCCCTTCTCCCACAATCCCTACAGTGGCACCCCTCTCCCCGTCTCTGAGACTAAGCCCAGAGCCTGCCCCAACCTCTGTTTTAACCGCTACCCTCATTTTCCTAGACCCGGCTGTCTCTCCTATTCCCTCCCTCAGGCTCTCAGTCCCCGCTGCAACCCTCTGCCCACCCCCGGCTGGGAAGCTGGCGATCAGACCGAGCTCAGGGGCTCCTGGGTTTGAGGAGTTCCGAGGCAGCAGCCCTTTTAAAGGGAGATGTCAAGTGCATATGGGGCGGGGGTAGAAGCGGAACACCAGCTCCCGGGCTGTGAGGGGGCAGAGTGGCGGCTGTAGATCAAACACAAACACACACAGAGAGAGAGAGCGAGCCCCGCACAAACTCTCCCCTGTCCTCCCTGCTCCTCAGGCTGAGATGAGTAAAGATCACCTCTAACTTACCGCCAGCTGCAACCAGCAGTCCGACATAGCATAACAGCACTAGCAACCTCAGTGATGTCCCTGCTGTCATCTCCCAGAGTCCACACGCTAAAGCCTTCAGAGCTTTAATCTGCACACATACAGCTCCTCCTTCGCATCGCGGTGCTAGTCGAACCATTCCGGGACTGCCAGAGCTTCTCATGGTTCATGGGGAACAGAGGGAGATGGGAGAGGGGAGACAGACTAGAAATTTATATCTGTCTATCTTGCAGAGAGATAGAGGCCAGAGAAGATTTCAAATCCGTGTCGATGTGATCCTGAAATTCTAAGCAGACCTCGAGAGGGACATATATCTGTGCGTGTGTGTGTCTGTGTGTGAGTGAGAGACTCTGTGTGTGTATGTGTGAGAGAGAGAGAGGCAGAGAGCAGAACAGAACGGAGCCTGGCTCTCCAGAACCAAACACTTGGACTCGACCAATCGCACACGCACAGGGGAAGCAGCTATCTCCAGCAAACTCAGCCCATCTCAGCCCCACAGGCAGTGTGTGTGTGTGTGTGTGTGTGAGAGAGAGAGAGAGAGATCCAGCAAGCTCTCCACATTAAGCCCTACCCCGTCCCCCCAACACAAACACCCACGCCGCCCCCCGGCTCTGGAGACCGGCAGCTTTCTCTGGGGAAGCCCCCCTCTCGCCTGGGGACAGACACATTCCCACACAAATCTCTCATAACCTCTTGATGAAGTGTGTGCAACCTCGTTACTTTATCACCTTTAACCACATTTTCAAAGTTTTCTGTATTTTACATGAGCCAATAGATGGGAATCAAAACTTTCAGTGGGAATTTCTACTGTGCACTGATGCCTTATAGATCCCACTTGTGACGTCGGATTAAACACTTCAGTTCTGAATTGCTGTTCGCAATCCCACTTTATGTAACAATTCTGACATTTTAAGTGCGCTCGTCAATTTCGCATCAACATTAGGGTATTTCTGACACCCTGTGCTAAAAGACTCCGGATTGTTGCAACTCCAGAAATAATTGCACGCGGGCGTGAATCCAAAGAGCAGGAATTTGAAGTGAAAAAAAAGGAAAACAGGAAACTTTAGCTACGTGTTTGACAAAATGCGCAAAAAGGATATTTTCCCCCCCTCAAGACAAAGCAAATGTGTAACGTTGCTGCCATCCAGCGGCCGTTAAGTGAATGACAGCGGTTTGAGGCTGGGCGAAGGGAAGTAGCTTCATCGCCTTTTCTGACATGACCGTGGCATTGATGCAAAAAAAAGGAGCGAAAGAGAGAGCTTTGGACATTGGTGCAATCCTTCTTCGGGAGCAAGTGGCCCGGTCACGGTTCATGAGGAAGGTCGCCGAGTTCTATCCATCGTCAGTTTGGAGATTTGGTCAAAGTCTCCAGAAAAGCACTGGAAGTGTCAGTCTCAACTCGCCTGCTCTCCCTGCGGAAGAGCCACACCGCCTTGGCAAGGAAAAGGGGCTACGATGCCAGAATCTCTGCTGCGCGACACAGCGAGGAGACTTTATTCATGATCAGCCAACCCTCGGGTTTTCTGTGCAGATTGTCACTTCCTTGACACACTAGGATATAGCAGAGAAAGTTGTGCCGCAAGGCTTCACATTCAAGTATTAGATAATAGCAAGTTAGGGCTTTTTGTTTCAACACACTGTGAAATAGTTTTACCCCAGAGCCACACGTATTTGTCATTTTAAAATATCTTAAACCCACTTTATACCTTTCCTTGGCCCTTCTGGCGATTATATTTCATTGCAGCATGCCACAGTATGAAGTTAAAAAGGGCATCAAACATTTGGAAATATCTAACAGGTGAATCAGCATCTGAAAGAGTTTAGAACACAGGAACTGGAATTAAGTCTTTCAGCTCCAGAGATAGTAGGAACTGCAGATGCTGGAGAATCTGAGATAACAAGGTGTAGAGCTGGATGAACACAGCAGGCCAAGCAGCATTAGAGGAGCAGGAAAGCTGACGTTTTGGGCCTAGACCCTTCAAAGAGCAGGAGTTTGAAGTGAAAAAAAAGGCCCAAAACGTCAGCCTTCCTGCTCCTCCAATCTTTCGGCTCCTCCAGGTTAATTTGCCTTTTGGTTAGATCATAGAATCATACAGCACGGAAATCTACCCTTAGGTTCAACCAGTCCATGCTGACCATAATCCCAAACTAAACTAGTCCCACCTGCCTGCTCCTGGCCCATATCCCTCCAAACCTTTCCTATTCGTGTACTTATCCAAATGTCTTTTAAACGTCCACTACTTCCTCAGGAAGTTCATTTCATATGCAAACCACCCTCTGTATTAAAAAACATTGCCCCTCCTATCTTTTTTAAATCTCTTTCCGCGGGCCTTAAAAATGTGCCCACTAGTCTTGAAATTGCCCATCTTAGGGAAAAGGTAACTACCATTAACCCAATCTATACCCCTCACTATTTTATAAACTTCTATCAGGTTGCCACTCATACACTCCATCTCCAACTCCCACTCCCTGTGGTATTACCCTGATAAGTACTACTTGCATCTCATGCTGTCTGCTACCTGTACCAGTATGTGATAAGTATTGTTAGGGGTAGTTATATATGACATACTACAGTCCCCCAATCACACCACCATCTACATCTTCACTCATACACCCTACCCTTTGCTCCAAAACCTGTGAAATATACAAAGCAAACCTATCTACCCCAGCCTTCAAAATTCCAATTGATCCAACATCTGTTTTATTTATGGTGGAAAGAATTCCAGATTCCCACCTCTCTTTTGGATGGGAGAGTACTTCATGATTACGCTTAAAGTGGCCTAGCTCCAGTTTTAAGAGTATGGCCTCTTAAAGTGGTCCTCTTCATCCAATGCTTTCAAGATTGTAAATGCTGGGATAGATCATCCCTCAGACTCCTCTTCATAAAGGAATTAACCCGAACTAAGTTTATGCAACACCGAAGGGTAGGTCATCGCCCAGCCTCCTGTCACGTGTTTTCCATCATCTTTTCATTGACCACAGGTGTGATTAAGCTTATTATCCTTATTCATAACATATTTTCCCTCTCCATTTAGCTACAATGAAATGGCTAAGGTAACTTTTGATTTATGCTGGGTGGTCAGAAGGCCCTTCACCTAGAGAGTTAGACATTTTGACATTAAACATGGGTTAATCCAATAACCAGTGGTAAATCTCCTCAGCATTATTCTAGATAATTGATTGCAAGATTTTAGAATCTCATCAACATACCACACTCAACAACACTAAATGGTCCCTCAAAGAAATTCATTGCAATTTAGCAGAACCAGTGGGAAAGGTTGATCCTGTAAAAGGATAAAACAAAATCCATCAGAGGAACCCAAATGGGATGGGTAGTGTGATGGCTCAGTGGTTAGCACTGCTGCCCTACACCTCCAAAGGCCCAGGTTAAATTGGCTTGGGTGACTGTGTGGAGTTTGCATGTTCACCCATATCTGTGTGGGTTTTCACCGGGTGCTCCAGCTTCCTCCCACAGTCCAAAGATGTGCAGGTTGGCTGGATTGACCATGTTATATTGCCCCCATACTGTGCAGGCTAGGTGAATTAGCCATAGGAAATATGGGGTTACAGGTATGGGTGGGATGCTCTTTGGAGGGTCAGTGCAGATTTGAGGGGCCAACTAGCCTGTTTCCACAATCTAGGGATTCCATGATCATTTTCTTCCATTGTGACTACAATAAAGAAGAGCTCTGGAAGAAGAAAAAGAAGGAAAAAAAAATCACTTGTCGATAATAATATTTTTTTAAATCTGCAAGAATGTTACTCATCAGAATCAAATATTTCTTGTCACGGTGAAAATCTACTCTCCAGGAGGTGCCTCTAAGTAAAACAGAAACCTCATCACAACAAGTATTATTAAAGTCAAATTGGATTGTAATCGCCCTGACTTCACGAATCTCCACTGAATAACATGTAGCAAATAGCCTACTTAAGTCTATGAAATAATGTACCAAGAGTATTTTAGAGATGGTACCCAGTTGGGTAAAGAGATTAGCAGATCATGAGTCATTCCTTTTTTTATCTGATCTCATATTTTGAATTTTGCTTTTACCTTCAGTCCCCCTCAGAACATGCATGATTCCTCATTGACAGGGTGTTTAGCTAATGTCCTTGACACCATCGTCTGTAACTAGTTATGAGGTGCTATTCACAGGGGTTACATGTGACTTGGATGTGGGTACTCCTGCAGCCGGTGAGTGAGCCAGCTTCTTGCTGCCATCCCTCAAACAGTACGGCCAGCATCAAGAGCATAACTAGCAGGGCACCTTTCGTGTCTTTGTGATTGTCCACACTTGCTGTGTGTACTCACTAGATGTGCTGATGAGATAAAATGCATGGCACTTCTACCTAAGCGGTTGAAAAGGTTCCGCATCAGCACGGTAACGCAAGGTGTCGGAGTTGCCCAATCTGCTCTCCCGTTTGCAAAATATCACGTTGTGAGCATAGTCTCCCAGTTTCAGGCTGAACTGCAGGAAAAGTGATGAGTGACTCAACAGCTGTGAGGTTTTATCAATGTTGCTTTCAGCTGCAGCACATTTCAGGACTTTAATATGCGATGCGCCCATTTTTAATAAAAATGAGTTTCTTTTTAATTAAATCCTGGGAAATGATTGCTGCAGGAATTTCCATGTGACTGTTCTTTCCCCATGACTTACATCCACGACTTTCCATCCAACGACAGGTCAGAAATGGGGATACACAATGATGATTGTTCTTTTAATTCTTAAATGGGTATGAACATCACCACTGAAGCCAGCATTTGTCATCCATTCTTACTTGAGAAGCTGGTGATGAGTCAGTTTCTTAAATTGTTGCAGTTCATCTCGTGGTAGTACACCCAAATTTCTGTCAGAAGGGGTGAACTCCACATTTTTGACGCAATGGCAATCAAAGAATGGCGATGTGCTCCCAAGTCAGAATGGTATGTGACTTTGAGGAGAAATTACAGATGATATGTTCTCATGATTCTGCTGCCCTTGTACTTCTGGGTGGCAGAGGCCAGGGGTTTAGAAATTGCTGTAAAAGAAGACTTGGCAAGTAGCTACTGGGTATATTTTGAAAGGTACACACTGTATCCATGGTGTGCTGGTGATAGAGGGTATGAATGTTTACATTGATGGGTGTGATGCCAATCAAATCATTCTCCAATTGGAGAGATAGTAGGAACTGCAGATGCTGGAGAATCTGAGATAACAAGGTGTAGAGCTGGATGAACACAGCAGGCCAAGCAGCATCAGAGGAACAGGAAAGCTGACGTTTTGGGCCCGAAACATCAGCTTTCCTGCTCCTCTGATGCTGCTTGGCCTGCTGTATCCTCCAATTGGAATTGTGACAGTGTCCTGTTTCATTGTCTCTATTCCTGACCTGATTCT